AAAAAGTCGCAATTTTGAAGAAAGTCGATTCTCTTGTTTCAGTTAATAATTGTTACATAAAAAAAAACTAGTTGAAAACAATTGCAGGGTTCTCCCAAAATAAAAAAAAACACAAGAAAAACTTTTAAATGTTATAAAAAAAATTTTCACCAAAAAAAATAAAAAAATTCGATTTTCTAGAAAAAAATTTGGGTATGCTATTTTACAGAAGATTAGATTTTAGTAATAAGGTGCTATTTGCAAGTGGCTAAGAGGTCGCGTTGATTTTTAATAATTATTTTCGCTTACATTTCGAGCACATCTGAATGCTAAATGGGAAACAAACTCATTGGTTATAGTTATTATTAAAAATCAACGCGAACTCTTAGCCACTTGCTACTTGCACTTTATTGTACTAAAATTTAATGATCTATAAAACTGCGCACCCAAAATTTTTATAAAAGCCAAAAAAAAATTAGTTTTGGTTATACATTTTTTAAAACATTTAAATTTTTATTTCGTTTTGAAAATTTTAGTAGCTTTCATTAAAGAAAAACAACTAACCAAATTGAATACAAAAAGCCAAATTTGAACCACTGTGCGTCGTAGTTTTGAACTTTTCCATATATTTTCTTGTAGAATTGCTAAAAAATCAATAAAAATAAAAAAAATTTTGATCGAATAAAAACATTTTCCTTCAGAAATGTTCCAACAATAGAATTACTATGCAATTTTAACTCAAAAATGCCTTTATCTATTTTTCATCCTTTTAATCTATTTTCTGTTACGAACACATAAAATAATTAATTTTTGTACTTATGTATATAAGTGATATCGGCTGTGCAAATGTTGTTAATAAAATTATAAACTTAAATACGCATCCAAATTTAATTGTTTGAAGATTGCTAAAGGTAAATATTTTTATTCGATCAAAAAATATTAATTTTTGAGTTTTTTATAGCAACTCTATAAAAAAATGTATATTCCCCATATGAAATAAATGGAAACCCTCAAAGCAAATTTTAACCGATTTCAAAAAATAAATACGAGTCTCTTTACTTTCGATATTCTTCAGTTCTGGGGGTAAAAAAGTGCTGGACCACCCTATTGTACATGCAATAGGATACAAACTTTGTCAAACAGCAGCAAACCAGCACGAAAACCGGCACAAAGCCACACAAACATCCACAAAAAAAGTTGTTGAAATTTTAGCCTCAAAAGAGGATTGCCGATAATGCGGCAGCCAAAGGCACAAGAGTTTCCTATAACGCAATGAAATTGTAATAAAACACGTACAAAGGACATGTGATTCAAAATGCGTATGGCGAGCTAAGTGTGAGCGTGGGTTTGGGAGCGCGACACTGAGGTAGTTATTAGAAAATTTTGCAACCGCAACTAGGCCAAAGTAATATCTTGGAAAAACTCAATAAGTGTGAGTAAAATTTAAAATTGTCAAAAAATTAAAGCATATCCCCAGGCGCAACTATGCCTCAAATGAGTATAACTTCTTTAACATTTTGAATATTATGTCGAAAATTGCGTTGAATGACAGCTGCTCGCTTCAAGAATAGAAAAAATTATATACATATATATCTAATGCGAAATGTATGTATGTATATAAAAAAGAATTGTTCTTTTCATAAGCCTCATTCAGAGCAAACTGACTCACACGCACCCACACACCTTTATTAGCAAATCTCCATCCACGGAAAAAAAATCTTCTACTTGCAATGACTGTTTCCCAAGCATGCAAACTCATTCACTCGACCGACTTTCGTCCACCCAAAATGTTTACTTTTACTCAGCTCTGCTGCTGCTCTCGCCTGGCCAAGCGTATTTCGATTTACGTCAGCATATGACTCTATATTTGTACAGCATTGCTGCTGGCTGAAATTTTTGTACTTTTCGCACTTTTCTCGAGACTTTCAACACCTGCATTTCTACTCCCTTCGGCATTCTTCTATGCCAGTTTTTTTTTTTTTTTATTCACTCACTGAGCGTAGCCCTTACTCCTTCTCCTCATCTTATTCTACCTGCTACGTGTTTTCAATCCCATTTGGTTTCCATTCCCACAAGAGTCGCAACCATTCCCGAAAATAGTTTGCTTTTTCAATACCCCACACATTGGCATCTTGCCGCCAACATACGTATATATGTATGTATGTACGAGGGAGCGTTAAAAGTTTAGAGCCTAAGTACCTTTAATTGGCCATAAAATCTGCAGTCAGACTCAGAGAGTCAGGACTATGAGGAACACGCCCATTTAGGCACGGGACGATCATCAACGAAACACAATAACGACAAAATACCGACTATATGGTATCTTATCTCAGTTTCGAAAACATACAGGTGAGAATTGCATTCAGAAGAGAGTGAAGGAGGGGCAGAGTGGCCAATAAAGAGGTAATCTCTCTCTACACCGACAGCTCAAAGATGGACTGTGGTGTGGGGGCAGGTGTATACTCCGAGGAACTCGGCGTCTCCTTCTCTCTCCGTCTAGGAAATGAGGCAAGTATCTTCCAAGCGGAAGTCTAAGGCATCCTTTAAGGTTGTAAAGCTCTAAGAAAGCAACAATATACGCTGACAGCCGAGTGGCTCTGTTAGCACTTAGTCCAGATGAGTAAAACGGCATTATGCTCAGTGTCGGCGTCAATTAGCGTCTCTCTTGTTTGGGTTCCGGCCATAGGAACAGTGAAGGCAATGAGTAGGCCTATAAATAGGCGAAGTCTCCTGCCTTGGAAGAATCCGCGGCTGTTCCACTGGGATGCCCCCTCGAATTCGTTCAAAGAGAAATTGGTTTGAATTTTCTTGAGGTGACAAGGAGAAGGTGGTTGGACATACGGACTTGCAAAATAGCTAGGGAACTCTGGCCTGACTATAACAGGACGAAGACACTACACCTGCTTAATAGATCGAGGGCATAAGTATTTAAAATTTTGGCAACCATTACGGGCAACTGGCCCATAGGCAAACATGCATTTGCTTTGTGAATACACAGGTCTAGCGGTTATCAAGCATAAACCACTAGGTAGCCTCTTACAGACAAAATTAAATAGCAGATATATCAGGATCTACTATAGGTGACATCGGCAAATTCATCAGGGAATCAAGAGGGTTTGACCGAGAAAACTAGACATGCATAGGTATTATTATATATAATTCCCACGAAAGAGCAACTAACCAACCAACCTTTAAGTGTCATTAACGTCTTGTCCTGCGTGCCACTAACTGCTAATATCCTTATTAGTATAAATACCGAATTTCATGTCATTACCTTCATTACTCTTCCAGTAATTGAACCGTAAACATCAACATGTGCTAGTCATCCGCGCATTATACGAGATTGGAGTACAGAGCTTTCATCCCTTTTCTCACAAAGAAGGACTAAACGTAGATGGAAATATTTGCAGAGATGTCTACAGTGTATGGGGAATCTGGACCTTTATTTGCCACCATCAAGCGTTGGAGCCGATAATTGATGATTCCAGGTAAGGGCGCCCAAACACTGCCGTTACCGAAGAAAATATTAGAAACATCAAAAAACTTGTTTTAGGTATGCCAAAAATGCCCATTCCGTTGAACAAGCAGCTACGAGTCACAGGACGACTGTGGCGTCAATCCAGAAGAGATTTTTTCTCGCATTGTCACTCCGGATGAAAAGTGGAACCAGCAGTGTGATGGAAAGGGGAAAAAGCCACGGATATTCAAAGTAGAAAGATTAGCATCCAAGCTCATGGCCACTGTTGGGATTGTGAAGGTGAGTATTCTGTTCATCGACAGATTTCCAAAAAAAAAGCTACAATAAACGGAAACTAATTATTGTTGATAATAGTGCGGCAAGTGGTTCTCGAAAAACGGAAAGGTAATATCGTCAAAGGAGTCCTGTTTTTGCAAGACAATGCAGACGTGCACAGTGCGCGAGTCGCAAGGCGTCCCTGACCCAGACTGGATTTGAAGTAATCAATCACTCGCATCATGCAGTCCAGACCTGGCCCCAGCGATTATTTCCAGTTCTCCCATTTGAATAAAAACCACTGAGGACGATGATTTCTGAGTGAATAAGAAAAGAATGCAAGCATTTCGTATACAAAGACGGCGCATATTTCTTCATTGGGTTAAAAGTTCTTTAGGCTAAATTTAAGAGCTACATGAAGAAGAGGGAGATTGTTTAAAAAGCTCCAAACTTTTCAGCCTTCCTCGTAAGAACTTATGTATGTATGCAATCATTATGATCAAAAAGCTTGGCAATCGATTTTCTACTTGTGGTTAAGCACATAACCAGTCGTGAGTAGTGGAAAGCTGCTAAAAGTTGGGCACAGAAATGGATGTGTAAGTCTACGGGCTATGATTATGATTTCGACTAGGGTTATGATTATAACTATGACTATGACTTTGATTATAGTTTTGATAAAGATTAATACTACAATTACGAGCATGATTATGATAACGACTATGACTATGATTATTACTACAGTTATAATTATATTTATGACTTTGAGTATAATTTTGATTGGGAAGATTATTGTAATTATGACAAGGATTTTGATTATGACTATGGGTAAGGTTATGATCACAATTATAATTATGATTATAACAATTATTATGACTATCATTGTGATTGTGACTAGGATTCTGACAATGATTATGATTATAATTATGGCTATGGTTATGATTATGATTGTGGCTTGAATTATGATGACTTTGAACAAAGATTATAATTACGAATAATTTTATGATTACGATTTTGTTTTGATTGTGATTTTGATTATGATTATTACAATACCAGCC